CGTAGAGGGTCCCTACTCCTCTCAGTGGCAGGCAGCTATGGATGCAGAGATGGCTTCCTGGAAGTCCACAGGCACCTACGTTGACGCGGTTCCCCCTCCTGGGGCGAACATCGTCAGTGGCATGTGGATCTTCAGGGTGAAGCGGCCGCCGGGCTCTCCACCTGTCTTCAAGGCACGGTACGTTGCTCGTGGCTTCAGTCAGCGGCAGGGAGTTGACTACTTTCAGACCTTCTCTCCCACCCCGAAGATGACTACTCTTCGGGTGCTGCTGCACATAGCCGCTCAGCGCGACTACGAGCTTCACTCTCTCGACTTCAGCACTGCGTTCTTGCAGGGTAGCCTGCACGAGGAGATCTGGCTTCGCCGTCCACCTGGCTTCACTGGGACTTTCCCCCCTGGCACCCAGTGGAGCCTCCGACGGCCAGTCTACGGTCTCCGCCAGGCACCGCGTGAGTGGCACGACACACTGAGGACTACGCTTGCGGCTCTTGGGTTTGCTCCTTCTACTGCTGACCCGTCGCTGTTTCTTCGCACCGACACTTCCCTGCCGCCGTTCTACATCCTCGTGTACGTCGACGACTTGGTCTTTGCCACAGCGGACACTGCTGGACTCGCCTACGTGAAGTCCGAGCTGCTGAAGAGACACACGTGCACAGACCTGGGTGAACTGCGCAGCTACCTTGGCTTGCAGATCACTCGGGACAGAGCACGCCGCACCATTACCTTGACTCAGTCACACATGGTGCAGCAGGTCCTTCAGCGCTTCGGCTTCACGTACTCCTCGCCTCAGGCCACTCCTCTGCCTACTCGCCACTCACTCTCAGCTCTGCCTTCGGATGAGTCCGTAGAGTCGAGTGGTCCGTATGCAGAGCTTGTTGGCTGCCTCATGTACCTGATGACCTGCACACGACCTGACCTTGCATACCCTCTGAGCATTCTTGCACGCTATGTTGCTCCTGGGAGACACAGACCGGAGCACATGGCTGCAGCGAAGAGGGTATTGCGCTACCTGTGCAGTACGTCGGGCATGGGGCTAGTGCTTGGAGGGCGGAGTCCAGTGGTCCTTACCGGCCACGCGGACGCTTCTTGGGCTGACGACCAGGCTACGCAGCGGTCGTCACAGGGTTACACCTTCAGCCTTGGTTCCGGCTCTGTCTCGTGGCGGTCTACTCGCTCGTCTTCGGTTCTCGGCTCCAGTTGTGAGGCTGAGATCTACGCCGGGGCCATGGCTGCACAGGAGCTTCGCTGGCTCACCTACCTGCTGACTGACCTTGGAGAGCCGCCTCGTTCTCCTCCAGTGCTGTACGTAGACAACAAGGCCATGTTGGCCTTGTGTCGAGAGCAGCGCTTGGAGCACAGAACGAAGCACATTGCTCTCCGCTACTTCCTTGCTCGTGAGCTGCAGCAGCGTGGTCAGTTGCGACTTGCGTACGTGGCCTCTGAGGCCAACACTGCTGATGTGTTCACCAAGGCACTCGCGCCTTGTGACCATCAGCGCTTTTGCACCCAGCTGGGTCTTGTGCCTGTCTTGCCTCACTTGCTCTCCTCTTGACTTCACTTGTACTGTGACATATATATATGCCTGCTCTTGCTTGTCTAGTTTTATATATATGTCTGTACTCCTGCATGTGAACTGGCCTCTGGCCCTACTCTTGTGCTCGGACTGTGTGGTGACTTTGTGATCCACCCTGAGCTTGCTTTTTTTTGCTTGACTGGTCTTGTGACCCCTTGTTCTCCCCCACTTTGCCTATGGGGGTGTGTCAGATTTACATGACATAGTTGCTGTAGGCTATAGTGGGGTAGCACATATGGGGTACAGGTTTTCTAGGGTTGTATTTGTACCCAATCTTTCCTGAGTCATTTCATTCCTGTTTTCTTTACTTCACAGTCGCTGGTCTAGAGTCTACACAAGTACCTACACTAGCAACAGGCAACTGAGCAAGACTAGCACCTAAGCTAACAACACCAGAGTAAGCAGAGTCAGAAACACTAGAGTCAACAACAGCATACATAGCATGAGGAGCACTAATCAGATCAACTAACTGCTCAGCAGACATGCCCCACAGAGCGGAGCCGTAGCGCTGAACCAGAGGAAGCTAGTCAGGAGCAGGACCGCCAACTCCGTAGGTCAACCGGACCGTGTCAGTGAGCTGAGCAAAGCACTGACCAGGGGGGTGAAAGCGGCCACAAGGGTGGCCCCGACGAGGACCTGTCTGAACCTGGTAGGGGCAGGGAGGGTAAGCAGCACCGCGCTGGGGCTGACGCAGCCCCGACCCCGGAGCCAGCTGCTGACGCTGCTGCTGCTGAGGCTGCTGGGAGGAAAGGGGTTGCTGCTGCTGCTGAAGGTGCTGCTGACGCTGAGCCTGGTACCACGCCGCTGCTCCACCTAGCGGGGTCGGCAGTACAGGAGGCGACTGACGAGCTCGAGGGTCGCCGCCACCAGCAGGTGCAGTGGAGTCACCAGCCGCTGCACGAGGGGTCTCTCCAGACGCTGCATTCCCACCACCGCCAGTCGCAACAGCACCCCCACTACCTCCGCTACCTCCGCCTCCACCTCCACCGGAACCACCTTTCTTGCCCCCCCTGCCGCGGGACCGCGACGCAGTCGTAACAGCAGCCGCAGTCGCGTCAGTAGCGGCAGTGGCAAGAGAGGCAGTGAAGGTGGGTAACTGCGGGACTGTGCACCCGTGGAAGAGTGGGGGGGACACAGTACCAGAGGCGGCAGCTACCGAACGAAGGTTGCTCTCGACGTCCTTGAGTGCAGACTCAAGGACCTCGATAGTCAGCTCACTAGGGTGCTTCAGCAGAAGCGCGTCACGAACGGAGGCAAGGCGGTCAGGGAGGCTAGTGGCGATGAAATAGACAGTAATCGCCATGGGGGGAGGAAGCAGTGCAAGCTGTGCCTCAGTGCAAGCAGCGCGGTAACTAGCGTCGAGCGAGCGGAGGTGAGCGATCAAGTCAGCAGAGCGCTCAAACGAGGCAAGATCAGGAAACAGGAACGGGAGGAAAAGACGGCCGAGAGAGACAGTAGCGGGAGTAGAGTAGCGGGTCTTAATCGCAGTGAGGTACGCAGCAGCGGTGCGAACCTGAGTTAAGTGGACCTCCTCGGACTCAGGGAGGAGGCTGCTGAGTGCGATGCAGGCCGCAGCGTCACGCGACGTCCAAGCCGTCCGGTCAGCGCGCTGACGGGCAAAGCGAGCCGTAGCAGCGTCGTCAGGAGCAGGGCCTAAAGCTGTAGGCTCGGGGGGCTCGGGGAGGTCACCAGTAGCGTGTGACCAGAGGGTCTCGCCCCCCTGGACCTGACTCTCTAACAGACGACGAGCGCGAAGAAGCCAGACGGAAAAGTCAAGGGGTCTACCGTCGGCGTCGAAACGAAGAACTCGCGGAGTCGCCATAGTGAGAACCAACGCGAACGAACAGGCGAGTAACAACCGGGGGGGAAGAGGACTCAGTCGCAGCGGAAGAGCGGGCTAGGGCGACGGGCCAAGACGTAGGGTAGGGCAACGGGCCAGGGCCTAGGGTAGGGCGACGGGCCAGGGCGACGGGACGGGGGGGGTAACAGGCGGGCGCGACGCGACGGGGGGAACGGGCGCGACGCGACGGGGGGGAACGGGCGCGACGCGACGGGGGGAACGGGCGCGACGCGACGGGGGGAACGGGCGCGACGCGACGGGGGGAACGGGCGCGACGCGACGGGGGGGAACGGGCGTGACGCGACGGGGGAGATGGCGCTAGGCTCGGTACTAGGCGCGGTAACAACGAAACTGGTACGAACGAGAGGTAGGATCAGGCTCGGGAGGTACGAACGGAGAACGGAGGAACGGGATCCCACAGGATCCTAACCTAGCTGATACCATGTCAGAATGAGGAATGAATGTTCCATTGATGTTGGTTGGGGTACATATAACAAACCCTAACTTCTGTACCCCCTAAGACAAACCTCACTACAGGCTACAACATTTGACATGAGGTAGGCCCTCGGTTGTTGTAGTCTTGTTGTTTGCTCTGCTTGTTGTGCTTCCTATTTACATCCAAGTGAACTCTTGAACTGGCCTTGTAGCCGCTTGCTTGCGCTCGGAATTTGTGTGGTGTCCTTGAGATCCACCCTGAGCTTGCCTTGTTTCTTGCTTTGACTGGTCTTGTGACCGTTTGTTCACCTTGCTTGCTTTGATGCCCCTCACTTAGCCTATGGGGGTGTGTCAAGTGTAATTCTATGCTTGTAGGCTACATTGAGTAGCACAATAGGGAGTACAGTTGTTAGGGTTGCATATTTGTACCCTCACACTTTCTAGTTTCCACCATTCCGTTGCATTCCTATTCTGAGAATACCATGCCAGATTACCGATGATTTTTCAAATGGATATTGTTGGAAACGTCTCCAGGAAAAGGAACAACATCACCACATGTGCTTACACTGTTTGTGTGTGTATGATTTATTTACTATTATATAATTTCTTCAATGGGCTGGATTGAATGGGCTTTGTAAATCAATGGCCTGGCGCAGATTTCTGCAGCATAAGATATTACAATACACCACTATAAGTAAACATATCGTAACCTGATCTCCAAAGGTTCTTGTCAGGCTGGATCCATTTTAATTATCAATTTTACAGGTGCACTTGTCTTATCATTTGCATGAGCATTTCCATCACAGCCCCTCTTTATTATTCACGAGTGTGAACATTTCTATAAGATGACAACTTTGGTTCAGTTACTGTGTGCCCACCAGCTGTTTCGCCAAATGTATAAGAACACCTCACACAGCCAATCAGGCTCATCCAGATGGTTTTCTACCAACCTCTGCACTGTGAACGTTGGGCAATGGAGGACAGGGAGAAAACATATATTTGCAAGCAAGCCATTCAGTACCTTGGCTTTCCCAGTAGAAAGTTTCGAAGTCAGCGTTTAGCGCTCTGAACCACCGCCTACACGTATGTTCTGGAACTTACCTAAACCCTCAGCGTGGCTCGTTTTACAGAAGCGAAGTTGTCTGCTCGCATATGTGCCACGGGGAATTCCTCACTACAAACCTACCAGCCAAGCCAACACCTCCGTCAAGTCAACCACAGACCACCTCCTTCCAGTGTAGGAGAGTGGATACCATTCTAGGCCTGCATTTGTCCCTGAGCTGTATGTATAAAGAAGACACCGCCATTCCGCTTTCCGTTTACGCACTCTTTGGCTTCCTTTCACAAGTTAGATCCCGTGCGTTCACCCAGTTCCCGAATCGCCAGGAATCATGAATCGACGCGTTCTATTGCCGCTCATCTGCTTGTTCTTAGCGTCTCTCGCGGTCGTTACCGCGCGTCGCCGTAGCTGCCCGAAGAGCATGCAGTGTAGCGCGTCCACGAGCGGTTATTTCTTAGATGGTCCTAACGGTCACCTAGCTATTCAATACACAGGTCGGGGGCCGTCCAAGCCACAGTCTTGCAGCCATTTGTGCAAAACGACGGAGAATTGCACGTGGTGGATGTACAACATGCTTAGGGCTGACGGTAAGCAAAACGCGATGTCTGGTGCTAAGTAACGTGTTTAGGATGTACTGCCATGCGCCTTCTGTTTCTACCTAATCGTCTCATTGGTATTCTCATGGTTGAGAGGCCTGCGGTGGACCCCATTTTGAAGCAAGTGCCGGCCCTTGCACGTTTCTGTAAACTTTTGGATGGATGCAAAACAGTGCGGCTTCCTTTTCGCAGTTTCAGTAGTCGGTATCAGGATCCCCACATACCCCCTCCTTTCTCATCTCTTTCTTATCTTTCGCCATGATTGATTTCCTTCATGCCCTCCTGCTGCCTTTTTGTGCTGGCGACGTTGAGGCGATTGCATGCGAGTGCAGGTGATTGCATGCGATAGCATGCGAAACCAGGGGTTGGCTTGCGAGTGCAAGTCCTGGAGCGAGAAGCAGAACCAGAGAATTTCCAAAGCAACTTCTGAATCGACTCAATAGATCCCGTTTCTCTCCTCCCCACTCCCCGCCTCCCGTCCCACCCAATCATCTCCGCCATACCCGCTTGCTTCCTTGCCATGCCATGCTACGTCGACGTCACGCGCGTGGCGAGAGCAGGCGAGTGCAAGATGTGGAGCCAGGATCAGAGCCCGTGCATTCCCGAAGATACATCGGATCCCGAGACGGCTCGCTTTGACAACACTCCCATTGGCTGGACAGTCGTGGGAGGCCCTTGCCAATCGGCCTCCATGAATATGACTCAAAGTACGCTCTTCTTCCTCCTCTGCTCCTGTCCCGCCCCCGCTCCCCGTCTTCCTCCCCTCCTTCTTGTTCCTCTCTCCTTGCTCTGCTGCCTTTGTCAATGGTCCGTGTGTTCTGCTCGTTTCCCCTCTACTGCGTTGTCCACTTCATTCCACCTGATCCGCCTTTACCCTCTTTCCCTCTCTCCCTTTCCATGCATCTCCAACCAGCTCTACTGGTCCCTGGACCCCCTCTTTGCTCTCCCCCCCCCCTCCCCTCCCATTCGGACGATAACAAATATCCTCATGTGACATGGATTGATTGCCGTTTCTTTCTGACGACAATAAAGCCTTATTCATCCCCTCCTGTTCATGTGATCCTGCTTATGAAAGCTCCCAATGCTCCTTCCCCCACGCCCCCGTCCTCCTCACTCTCTCTTCACCGGTCACTTACACTTCTTCTCTCCAAAACGGCCTCTCCCCTCCTCTGTTCTCTCCAGAGTTCCGCCGCGGCAAGTGCCCTCAGCTAAGCTGCAACTCCCCCTCGCGAGGGTTCCTATGGGACCACCCGCACCTGGGCCACCTCTACTCGTTTGCCACAGGCAGGAGAAAGCGCCCCCACTCGTGCTTCCTTGCATGCATGGAAACCCCAGGATGCGCGTATTGGATGTACGACCTGCACTCAAACAGTGGCGACTGTGTGCTCTGGTCCGATGAGCAGAACCCGTGCCTGCCCGAGCCGGGCGGAGGGGAAGAGTCGGCGCATTTTGACCCACTGCCCACGCACAGTGTGTTTGTGGTGGGGGGCGGCTGCAACAGGGAAGTGCCAAATCAAATTTGAGACTGGTTGGTTGGTTGGTTGGTGTGATCGGTTGATTGTTGGTTGGGTTGGTGGGTGGGGTTGATAGACGGATTGACTGTGGGGGTGGTAGGCTGGTTCTGTGGAAGGGGGACAGAGTGGCTGCTGTGGTGGAGAGGAGTGCAATGGGTTGCAGAGCAGACCCTTTAATAGAGTCGGTGTGCCTGTGTTGTAGTGTACCGTTGAGTGGTTTTGGGCCACTAGAGGGCGAAATTGTACTTGACTTTGTCCTGTAATGCATGCCATGGATTCTCTTAATCAAGAGGTACGGTATGAGGTGAAGCAACATACCATGCCATATGTGGTGTATCCACATCTCGGTGTATCTATGGAATGGAACCTACCTACTTGGTATATAGACAGGCCCCCAGAAGTCAGAGAGATTTCTCTGATTTGCCTAAAAAAGTCTGATATTTCAGCCTTTTTTTTAGTGAACTCTAGAAGTTCAGAGTTTTTTTTGCTGTGAACTCTGAATATTCAGAAAATAAAATGTAGGCCTTGTCTGATTTTTCAGCCTTTTCTCAGAGTGTACTCTGAACCATGAGCGTTTTAGCGGGTACCTACTCTAGTATTTCTGTGCGAAATCTGCACTAACAGCCGCGATGAGCGCTGCAAGTAAAGTTCAGTCCTGTCAGTCAAGCTGAAACAGTGAAGCAGTGTCGCGCGGCGCAATCACTACCTCGTTTTAGGCTGATCCATCAGCTTCCCTACTGATGTGAACTCTGTGTAATCAGACTTTTATACTCTTGACCTCCGAAATTTCAGAGTTTTTTTTTTGTACCAAGCCTGATTGATCAGACTATAAATTTGTACTAAGTCTGACAAATCAGACAGCCCCAAAACGAATCTGAGGGCCTGTATATAAAGAACCTGCTGTCAGGACAGCACAGATAATATATCCATCTGCACATGCTACTACTGTACATTTTACCTACCGTACATCAGCCCCAGAAACGTGAAAATGGCAACTCTAGTGTCATGCAGCAAATACCAGTGCTACTGCTGATTCGTGGATAGGGATCTCCGGGGGAGACTTGAGCCAGCACAAGGATGGTTCTTTCTTGGTATGATAATGCACAATATTTTGACTTGCAGGTACTGTAACTCCTGTAGGCCCTAAGCAAAGAAACACATTGTAAAGCGCTTTTTATACCCTTTTCTTGAGAGTCGATGCTGCTTGATAGCAGACAACAAAGTGCCCTTAGTATGCAGCAGGAATCTCCCATTAAACTTGTGACTGGAGTGGTGGTAAGGGAAAATTTTATTCGTCCTTTGTAAGAAACAGGTATGTGATCTGGAATTGCAAGAAAGGTAGAGGAACGAATGGAAGGAGGGCGGCGGGAGAAACAGAGGGAGCGGAGAGAGGGAGGGAGGGAGGAAGAAAAATGGAGGAAACAAGGAAGGATGGAATGAGCAACAAGGAACGAAAGGTGAAAAGTCTACCCAGAAGAGCGTGAGACGAGTTTGTGTTTCTACACCAATGAACATCACGAAGCGGAAACGGAAAACGCTGAAAGAAAGAAAGAAAAAAACAGTTAGCGAGATGCGGCAAGTAGAGACTAAAACATGCAATGAAGGAGCCGGGGAACCACACTCAAGCCATACAGAATTAGTACGTGTAACTCAGGTGCATTTTCATTCGAGATGCCCGAGACTTTTCTAATCCCAGGTGCACTAAAATATTCTCGCATGCAGTTAAGGCGAAGAGTGGCTCACCCATGCCATGAAGGAGAAAACCCCGAAGAAAATGGCTATTCTGTAGAGCGGGCAGGCGCAGTCGCCTCGACGCCTCTTGTGCTTGCGAGCTGCCATGTGCCATGCGCCACCCCACGCGCCACCATGCGCCATGTGCCACCATGCGCCATAAGTCACGCGCCATGACATCATGTGTCAAGCACCATCAAGAAGGGACCACGGAGTGACACAGAGCGCCTTATGAGACCGACATTTTCACGCCCATGCCATGCCTATGGATGGTATGGAATGGCAGTGAGTGGCTTGGCTTGGCATGGCATGCATGGGTTGGTATGGGGATGGCATCGGATGGCATGGGGTGGAATGGGATGGCATGGGGTGGAATGAGATGGCATGGGGTGGAATGGGATGGCATGAGATGGAATGGGATGACACTGAACGGGTGAGAGACAGCAATGACAATCTTGCTATAAGCTCATGCACGGTCCACACCCAAACCATCCCCGAACCTGCTGCGTCCATTCACGAACCTGCATCACCCTCTGCACCAATCACTATATTCGTGAATGACCGATTTCGCGGCGGCGACCGCGCGCCCCCGGCGGTGACGCCGCGCTCCTCGCGCAAGCAGCGCACGCCGCCAACCGCCGCCGCGTGGTCGCGCTCGTGGTGGTGCCGATGGTCCTCGTCGTGGTCGCGATCGCGCCGCTCGTGCTCGTGATCGCGCGCGTCGGACTCGTCGCCGCTACTCGCGGCCGCAGAGTGCGGAATGGAGGAGTTCGAGAGTACTCGGTGGATGGTTGTTGTGGTAAGCATGGCGATGGTGGCGGTAGTAGTGGCAGCAGCAGTGGTAATAATCGCGGTGGTACTTGACAGTCGCACTGGTAGTTACTAGTCTAGCGTCGATGCGCTAAGGTGCTCAGATTTGCGCTAGAATCAACCGTTTTCTCGGAATTCTTAAGGACGCTTACTGCATTCGAGCGGGTTGACTCTGAGTCGACAATGAAAAGCGGGAATCACGGCGCGAGCTCATGAGAATGCGCCAGAAATTGCGCAGCTTGAGCGCGCTTCGCGGCACTGCGGCGCGAATGCAAGCACATTGACCAGGACACGAACGCGAATGTTCCCTCCTAGAGACGTTCTCGATAGTCAGCCCTCCCGGCCTACCGAACCGAAACACTCTGTCGCAAATTCCCGAACCACGGACACGAGCTAACACGTCAGGCTTACTCTCAGGTCGAGCTAGCTCACTTGTTTAGAATTTGTGGGAAAGGTTAGGAGAAGGGGAAAAGAAGCCGGGTGGTTTTATGGAGCTCAAGATTAAACGATGGGCGAATCGGAAGAGCACGCCAAGTAACACTTAGCGATGGTTCTAGGATAGTAGGCAATTTGCAGTGGTGGGCGTGCCCAGACCGGAAGCTTGTGTGGATGCGATTCAATGAGGTGTCTCACGTTGCGCAACGGTCCAAATACCACTTAGAACGGTTTCGACAAGTTTGAGCCTTACAGGCGAACTTCTGGGACACGATGCGGTGATGACTGGAGCAGAATTTTGGAGCACCAGAAGGTAGGTGAACTCGACAGACACACCACAGCGTCGGTCCAGAAGGGTCAAAACAAGGGAAAAGATCAGAAAGGGGCCCCGGAGTAGCAGTAAAGTGGCCGACTTGGGGTCTTGTGAGTCGCGCCCCTACTACGTACCCCCAAAGCAACCAGCACACCTAGGCTAAGGTTAAGGTTAAGGTTATATTAAGGTCGTAACCTATGTACATAACATACATAGAGCAAGCAGGGAATATGGCCCAATGGACCAACTACCTATAAGGAGTACGTAACAACACGTTATCCCCCAATCCCCGAGGGGATATCCCCCAGTGTTCTTGGGAGAACGCTCTATGGCGGTGATAGCATTTATGGGGGGCGGAAGGGGTTGCCGAGGAGCCAAGAGGCACGAAGGGCAGGATGGATGAAGGGGACGCCCTCGGCGTCAAAGCAGATAAAACGGAGGCGTATGGTGGTCTTGATGCGAGCGGCTGTCCGTTGCTGTTTCTTAGCGGACTGTCCTGACTGTCTCCACAAAAAAATCTTGAAGGCGAGAAGAAATTGGGTGAGAATGAGTTGAAAAACTTCGAACTTTGAGGAGGACGTGTCTTGAAACTTTCTTTCCCATCTAGTATTCCAAATCCCTTTGGCGGCTGCGCCAACGAGGAGACTCCAGGGAGCAGATTGACCAACCCTCTCGCGGAGAGGAAAAGGAGAAGCTCATCCGGGGGCGCAACGCCAAGGTGCCGGCAGGCAACCGAGCCAAGTGCGGATATGACCTCTCGAGCGCTACCGCAGTGGAAGAATATGTGGGAGATACTCTCAATTTCTCCAGATGCACAAAGCGAACATCGACCTCTGTCAGTGGTGAATAGGAATCTAGCGCCCGAAGGAAGGGTGCGGGTGTAGAGGCGAAAAAGGAAATCTCGTTGCAGGCTAGGTTGTTCACGGAGAAAGTCGTGGGTGAGGTTGGGAAGAAAGGGGGGAGGAGAAGATGCGAGTGCGCGCGTCCAACGAAGCTCATGCTCCTGAGAAAACTGAAACGAGAATGAATGCACTATGAAAGAGTTGGGTACAAGTACTAACCCTAATTGGGTTGTACCCTATATGGGCTACCCCACTACAGCCTACACAAAAGCATAAGCTATAATGTTCTGACACACCCCCATAGGCAAAGTGGGGGAGTACAAGGGGTCACAAGACCAGTCAAGCAAAGCAAAGCAAAGCAAGATCAGGGTGGATCACAAAGTCACCACACATTCCGAGCACAAGGTAAAGGCCAAAAAGCCAGTTCACATGCAGGAGTACATATATATATAAAAGGCTAGACAAGCAAGAGCAGGGTATATATATATATGTAACAGTACAAGCAAGGTCAAGAGGTGAGCAAGTGAGGCAAGGCAGGCACAAGACCCAGCTGAGTACAGAAGCGCTGATGATCACAAGGCGCAAGTGCCTTAGTGAAGATATCAGCAGTGTTGGCCTCAGAGGCCACGTACGCAAGACGCAGCTGACCACGCTGCTGCAGCTCACGAGCAAGGAAGTAGCGAAGAGCAATGTGCTTCGTTCTGTGCTCCAGTCTCTGCTCTCGACACAAGGCCAGCATGGCCTTGTTGTCTACGTACAGCACTGGAGGAGAACGAGGCGGCTCTCCGAGGTCAGTCAGCAAGTAGGTGAGCCTGCGAAGCTCCTGAGCAGCCATGGCCCCGGCGTAGATCACAGCCTCACAACTGGAGCCGAGAACA